GACAGTGAGACACAGAACACTTGGAAGCAAAGAATTCAACCCAACATTGCCATATTCAGTCAAGAGAATATTCATACTGTGGAGATACGAAGAAATTTCAAGTCTAAGTTTCAGGAAACTTCCTACCCGAATGCCTCAGAAACACACTGCAAATCCCAAAAAGCTGAGAGGAAGAATGCTTCTAGTATAACGTAGAAACAACTGCCAGTGACACCCTAGCCCAAATTTCCTACAGAAATCCAATGTTATAGTCTTGTTTTGTTGAATGCAAAGGGACATAGATAGTAAGAAATACGGTGAAATGCTTAAAGATCTTAAAAGATACAACAAAAAATTAGGACAAAAGACTTAATACCCAAATTATAATAAAAGATAAATCTCAAAGGCAAAAATTAGAAGTTGGAGAAATAAAGCTTCTAAAAGAGCATAAAAATAGCAGGCAGACCAAGAATAAAAATTAAAAGAATATATAAATTGCCTAAATTCACCTACTAAAAATTTCAAATTTCATTTCTTACATTGTATTGTTCTCAAAACATTAGAACATGAAAGTAATCTCCATAAGAACTGTGTTGTTCACTGGTCTATTTTCAGCACCTAGAACTGCCTGGCATCTGATAGTTTTTGTGGTTTTTTTTTTTTTTTCAGTTTTATTTATTTTTACTTTACAATATTGTATTGGTTTTGCCATACATTGACATGAATCCACCATGGGTCTTTTTGAATGAATGGATGCAAAAGAATGCTAACAAAACCTGCGTATCTGTTCAGCTGGTACAGGTAAACAGACACCTTGATTCAGTGCATGTGGGAATTTTACACAGGGTGTCACTGTTTCAGAGGGCAATTTATAATAGAGCACATGCCAGAAGCCTGAAAAATCCTTAATCCAAGAATTTTACTCAAGAAATGTATATAATTTTTAAAAGATCACTAAGGTATTTAATGGGCGGCGGCTGTGATGGCGCATGAGCACGGCCGAGAGGAGCTACCCTGCATCAGAGGTAAAGAGCAACCATGAAGAGAGACCCCACATCCAAGGTAAGAGAAACCCAAGTAAGACGGTAGGCACTGAGAGAGGGGATCAGAGGGCAGACAGACTGAAACCACAATCACAGACAACTAGCCAATCTGATCACATGGACCACAGCCTTGTCTAACTCAATGAAACTAAGCCATGCCGTGTGGGGCCACCCAAGACGGTCAGGTCATGGTGGAGCAGTCTGACAGAATGTGGTCCACTGGAGAAGGGAATGGCAAACCACTTCAGTATTCTTGCCTTGAGAACCCCATGAACAGTATGAAAAGGCAAAAATATAGGACACTGAAAGATGAACTCCCAAGGTTGGTAGGTGCCCAATATGCTACTGGAGATCAGTGGAGAAATAACTCCAGAAAGAACGAAGGGATGGAGCCAAAGCAAAAACAACACCCAGTTGTCAATGTGACTGGTAATGGAAACAGGGTTTGATGCTATAAAGAGCAATATTGCATAGGAACCTGGTATGTTAGGTCCATGAATCAAGGCAAACTGGAAGTGGTCAAACAGATGACAGGAGTGAACATCAACATTCTAGGAATCAGCGAGCTAAGATGGACTGGAGTGGGTGAATTTAACTCAGATGACCATTATATCTACTACTTTGGGCAGGAATCCCTTAGAAGAAATGGAGTAGCCATCATAGTCAACGAGAGTCCGAAATACAGTACTTGGATGCAGGCTCAAAAACTACAGAATGAACTGTTTGTTTCCAAGGCAAACCATTCAATATCACAGTAATCCAAGTCTATGCTCTGACCAGTAAAGCTGAAGAAGCTGAACAGTTCTATGAAGACCTACAAGATCTTCTAGAACTAACACCCCAAAAAAATGCCCTTTTCATTATAGGGGACTGGAATGCAAAAGTAGGAAGTCAAGAAACACCTGGAGTAACAGGCAAATTTTGGCCTAGATCTGATAGACAGAGTGCCTGATGAACTATGGATGGAGGTTCTTGACATTGTACAGGAGACAGCAATCAAGACCATCCCCAAGAAAAAGAAATGCAAAAAAGCAAAATGGCTGTCTGAGGAGGCCTTACAAATAGCTATGAAAAGAACAGAAGTGAAAAGCAAAGGAAAAAAGGAAAGATATACCTGTTTGAATGCAGAGTTCCAAAGAATAGCAAGGAGAGATAAGAAAGCCTTCCTCAGGGATCAATGCAAAGAAATAGAGGAAAACAGTAGAATGGGAAAGACTAGAGATCTCTTCAAGAAAATTAGAGATACCAAGGGAACATTTCATGCAAAGATGGGCACAATAAAGGACAGAAATGGTAGGGACCTAACAGAAGCAGAAGATATTAAGAAGAGGTGGTAAGTATACACAGAAGAGTTATACAAAAAAGATCTTCATGACCCAGATAATTATGATGGTGTAATCACTCACCTAGAGCCAGACACCTGGAATGTGAAGTCAAGTGGGCCTTAGGAAGCATCACCATGAACAAAGCTAGTGGAGGTGATGGAACTCCAGTTGAGCTATTTCAAATCCTGAAAGATGATGCTGTGAAAGTGCTGCACTCAATATGACAGCAAATTTGGAAAACTCAGCAGTGGCCACAGGACTGGAAAAGGTCAGTTTTCATTCCAATCCTAAAGAAAGGCAATCCAAAGAATGCTCAAATGACCGCACAATTGCACTCATCTCACACGTTAGTAAAGTAACACTTAAAATACTCCAAGCCAGGCTTCAGCAATATGTGAACCATGAACTTCCAGATGTTCAAGCTGGTTTTAGAAAAGGCAGAGGAACCAGAGATCAAATTGCCAACATCCACTCAATCATCAAAAAAGCAAGAGAGTTCTAGAAAAACATCTATTTCTGCTTTATTGACTATGCCAAAGCCTTTGACTGTGTGGATCACAATAAACTGTGGAAAATTCTTAGAGATGGGAATGCCAGACCACCTGACCTGCCTCCTGAGAAATCTGTATGCAGGTCAGGAAGCAACAGTTAAAACGACATGGAACAACAGACCGGTTCTAAATAGGAAAAGGAGCACATCAAGGCTATATATTGTCACCCTGCTTATTTAACTTATATGCAAAGTACATCATGAGAAACGCTGGGCTCGATGAAGCATAAGCTGGAATCAAGATTGCCAGGAGAAATATCAATAACCTCAGATATGCAGATGACACCACCCTTATGGCAAAAAGTGAAGAGAAACTAAAAAGCCTCTTGATGAAAGTGAAAGAGAGTGAAAAAGTTGGCTTAAAGCTCAACATTCAGAAAACTAAGATCATGGCACCCAGTCCCATCACTTCATGACAAATAGACGGGGAAACAGTAGCTGACTTTATTTTTCTGGGTCCAAAATCACTGCAGATGGTGATTGCAGCCATGAAAGTAAAGGACGCGACAGCATATTAAAACGCAGAGACATTATTTTGCCAACAAACATCCATCTAATCAAGGCTATGATTTTTCCAGTGGTCATGTATGGATGTGAGAGTTGGACTACAAAGAAAGCTGAGTGCTGAAGAATTGATGTTTTTGAACTATGGTGTTGGAGAAGACTCTTGAGTCCCTTGGACTGCAAGGAGATCTACCTAGTCCATCCTAAAGGAGATCAGTCCTGGGTGTTCATTGGAAGGACTGATGCTGAAGCTGAAACTCCAGTACTTTGGCCACCTGATACGAAGAGCTGACTCATTTGAAAAGACCCTGATGCTGGGAAAGATTGAGGGCAGGAGGAGAAGGGGATGACAGAGGATGAGATGGTTGGATGGCATCACCGCCTCAATGGATATGGGTTTGGGTGGACTCCAGGAGCTGGTGATGGACAGGGAGGCCTGGCGTGCTGCGGTTCATGGGGTCACAAAGTCGTACACGACTGAGGGACTGGACTGGACTGAACTGAAGGCATTGAATATATTTTTGTTTACAATAAACAAAGGTGAACCTAATGACCCGATTTAAATGTCCTCCAACAGAGGGCTGACTAAATTGTAGGCCACCCATACCACAGGATCCCAGAAACTTACATAAGGGAAGATGTCATAGATGTCAATGTGGAAGATGATGATGACTCATATACTTTGAAGAAATAAGCAAACTACAAATGAGAACAGAGAGCACAACCCTACTCCTGTATAAAACATCTGGAAGAAGCAACACAATGTTAACAGTGTGTTCCTCAAAATGGTAAGATAACAGTGATTTTTATTTTCTTTTGTTCACCTCTATTTTGTAATGTTTCTACACAGAATATGTATTATTTAGAAAATGAAGTAGTGTATTTGAAAAACCTAAAAACATTTTTGAATGAGACCAACCCTACAGGCTATAAAGTAGTGTCAAATAAGATATTAATTGCAAACATCACCTACCCCCCGGAAAAAACCATTCTTCCCCTTTCTGTTCTGTGGATGCCTCTGACACTACATTCGCCTATTTCTGAACATGTTCAGTCTTGATAAAGGAAGGAAACCATAAGAGGTTACATGCCAGAACAAAGTAAAAACTGGCACTTTTACTATAGCTTTGGTTGAGATCACTAAACAACAGTAAACAACACTCAGTTTCTAATGTAAACCACTATACTAGCCAACACTAAGCATGATGTGATCCTCACAAGAAACTTTCTTCAATAAAACATGCATGTAAGTCAGATACATCCTCATGCACAAATCACAATTTTTTAAAAGTTTCTGTTTGAGCTTACTATTCATCACAGTATACACCCTGAAAAGACCTCTCAGCAACAAAACAAAAAAAGTGCATTCCTATCTTGTATGTATAGGCTTAAATATCAGGAAACAAACAACTGGAATGAAAACTGAGCTTATATTAATATAGTCTAAGTCAATCAACTGTAAAAGTTAACATATTGTTACTCTATTTCATTCTGAGGTACAGATTCAGAATATACATCTCACAAACAATTCATTAATTTCCTTGCTATAATAAAAAATGGAAACACAAGACTACAAAGATGCCACCCTAAGTGTCCCATTTATTTTCCACAACCAAAAGTCCTGTTCCAGTTTTCATAAAGCTCTAAATCTTCTGGAGATACACTAGGTCGCACAGTTTTGAAAGCATTTTCAAAGTCGCTGTAAGCTATTGGGCGAACTTGATCAGGCGTTATGGTGGCAATGTCAGCAGCCTGCAAACTGCGAATAGGACCCAGAGACGCCTCCCGGCACAGCTGAGTCATGTCTGCTCCAGAGAACCCGTCAGAATGCTGCACCACCAGCGCGAGCTCCTCCTCACTGAGGCAGCACTGCTCCTTGGACATCAGATTAACTACTATCTGTTTTCTGGCCGAAGCTTCTGGGAGAGGAATATACAGCCTTTTCACCAGCCTTCTCCGGGCAGCCTCATCAATTTCTTGTGGCCGGTTGGTCGCTCCCACCACTAGAATATGGTCCTCAGAAGATGTGGCTGCCCCATCTAACTGAACTAGAAATTCGGTTTTTATCCTTCTAGAAGATTCGTGCTCACCATCTCCACGTTGAGATAACAGGGAATCAATTTCATCAATAAATATCACAGCTGGTTGCTGACATCTTGCTACAGCAAACAATGCACGGACCATTTTCTCCCCCTCACCCACCCACTTGGAAGTCAAGGAGGAAGCAGAGATACTGAAAAACGTTGCCCCAGCCTGACTAGCAATGCACTTGCCAATCAGAGTCTTACCAGTGCCAGGAGGACCAAAGAGCAGAATGCCTTTAGGGGGTCCTCGTAGGCCAGTGAAGATGTCTGGCCGCAACATGGGCCACACAACGATCTCCTTTATCGTGGCCTTGGCAAATTCCACACCTGCAATATCTTCCCAATTTATTGGAGGTCCCTGATCCATAATCTCATTCATAATAAGTTCAATCATTCTGGGCTCCAAGTTCTTCAGGCGCTCGTCCATGGGATGTGCTGGGTCTGCAGCACCTGCACCCTGAGGCTTATACTGCATTCCCCCACCTGGATCTCCCCCATCTTGCTTAGGTACAGGAGGAACAAACTTTCCAAATATCCCTCGAGATCTACCAGCCCCCAGAGACTTTTTCACTCCGCCATATGAAGACCCTGATGCACGCTGGGGCTGGTGGTACTTTTTCTGCTGATCTACCCATAACTGTTCCTTTGCAGTTTTAAAAGCAGGCAGGCTGCTCTCCCCTCTTTGGCCATTATCTTCTGTTTTACTACAAGCCTTATTCAGTACTGGGGTGGAAAGTGCATCGATGGTGCCAGCACCATAAAAAGCTTTTCTGTCCCGTGCATTTTCACAGAAAGAAGGAAAACAAGACTGATTAGATGAGAACACATTTGGTCCTATGTTGCCTTTGAGAAAGCTGTTATTTTCCTTTTTGACATTCCCAAATAATGGTTTGGCATGGAACTTTGCAAGGGCTGACTCACCAAAAGGTGCTGAGGCTACAGGACACGTCTTAGTGGTGTTAATGACTAGAGGTGGCTGGGCACTCTGAGGGCACTTCAAAGAAGGACAACACTCTGGAAACTCTTGAGTCCTGTCAGCACCATGGGCTGAGTTAGTCAACAGGTTGCTCTCCCCAGAACCACCACAAATGCTAAATGCAGGAAGGTCAGAGACAGTGGCCTCTTTGTGGATGACTAGTGATGCATCAGCAGGTGCCAACAGAGAGTCTTTGGATTTCTTGCCAGCACGCATCATCTCCTGCACATTGCTCAGTTTGAACACATTATTTATTGACAATCCAGACTTCCATTTGTCACTGTCAGTTTGCTGAGATCCTGCAAGAGTTAAAATGCTTTCTGCATAGTTATTCAAGCCAGTTTCAACATTGTCAGAATCGATAACTGCGGAATATTTCTCTGCGTATTTCCTGAACAGTGTAGCAGCACAGACTTGGGAGATATCAGAGTTTGCCCATGCATACTGAATGCGGAGTATCTGTGCTCGGTAGGCATCTGCCTTCTGTCCTGGTGTACATGTGCCAGATGTAAGTGCAAAGTAATTCTTCTGCCAGTCACTTAGGTGTACAGACCTGGAGCTGGAGGGCTGCATTTTAGAGGCTCTAAAACAAAGATGAAAAAAATTCAGTTTAGAAGGAAACAAAGACATAACACTTTAAACATACTTTAAAAATATTTGCCCATCTTAAGGAAGGCACACTGGACTTTTTATTTATAAAGTAAATTTATAAGGAAAGGTTGTTTATAGTGGAAACATCTATTTAACCATAGCTTTCAAACACTCAAGATATAAAAGATTAAAGAGTTAATAATGCTCTGTTATGGCATCACTAACTCGATGGACATGAGTCTGAGTAAACTCCAGGAGTTGGTGATGGACAGGGACGCCTAATGTGCTGCGATTCATGGGGTCGCAAAGAGTTGGACACGACTGAGCGACTGAACTGAACTGAACTAATGGCTTAAACTGTTTTAGTTATATAACAATTTTCCCTGTGAATAGGAAAAACATTCACAAGGTTTAGAGGGTGGTGTTAGTGACCAAAGGTGGCTGGGCACTCTTAGGGCACTTCAACGGACCACCCTCTGGAAAGTCTTGGATCCTGTCAGGGCCCTGGGCCTAGTCAGTTGAATAGGTCACTCTCCCCAGAACCACCACGAATGTTAAACGCAGGAAGATCAAAGACAGTGGTGGCAACATGGAAAACAATGGAACTAGAGACAAGCAGAGCAAAACAAACCAAGTCAAGCAGAAGGGTATAAATCTGGTCTCTAAGGACAATCAGAGGAACAATGTCATGTTGGCTTTTTCCTATTGCTGGGCCTTCGGTTTTATCTGTAAAATGAGAGAAATCATTGTGAGATTCAAGTCAAATAATTAATATGAAAATACCTGAAAATTACTACTAGCCTCTTTACTGCACAAATGCAGATACTGAGGCTGAGAGTTCAGAAACAAGCTGAGGTCACAGAGCCAGTGAGCAATGGTGCCAGAATTCACACATGAGCAGTTTCACTGCAGTTCATGTGCACTTTACCATAGACAAAATGCCCCTTCACAGTGCCACCAAAGGTCACAGATAACAAACATGCACAATGATTACATACTAAACGTTTCCAAGGATTTGGAACAGGTAGATGAGCACTTAAAACAGGATGCCCCAGAATCTCTCACAATCTCCCAGTTTCACAGGATGCTTTAAAAAGTGAAGCTGTTGTGATGAAACATGAAAATGAGTGGGTAGTAAAACGCTTTATTTTAGATCTTTTCCCCCTCATGTTAGTCTTATATGCCTCCTTACATTAAATTAAAATTATTTTTACAGAACTGTAGATGAATGTGTAGATGAATATTGGTGGATGTGTAGAATTTACCTGATAATCCACAAGAAAAATGTGTAAGAAAATGCTGAAGCTCCCTAAGGGTACTGCAGTAAAGTAAAAACCAAGAACTTTATGTATTTTAAATTTTACCTTCGAAATTACCTGTAAATATAGCTTAATAATCAGCAGGTTATTTTGGTGCAAGAGCCATGCTTAATATAGCTTTCTCCCATGAACCCTAACAAAGAATCAGTCATATTGTAAGTAGCCGTTCATAAACCTCTGTAATATTTTTGAAAAAAATAAACTTAACAGAGAGATCCTAATTTGCTTACAGCTATAAAGTCAAAACTAGAACTGACATCTCATGACAATTTATCCTTCTTTCCACTATTCCATTTTACCCTATTTTAATCCCATTAATCAATACCAGAAATGAGTAATTGCAAGAGAGGTGACTTGGAAGTCACTTACAACCCACTTTCTTGTTACCATGAACATCCTATTCCTCTCCCACAGCGTCACACCATCTTATGGTCTGCAGCCCTGGGATTCTTCCAAAGGCTCAGCGTTCTAATCACTGTCCCCAGTACCCTGCTCTTCTTTCCTTTCCACCCTTTCCGATTTCTTCAACATTCACCTCTCAAGTCTTCCTTTTTCCTTTCAACACAATCATTCACCAAGGACTACGGACACACAAACCAAAGACACAGCGCCCCTCAGCTGCAGAGCCTGGCCCGGGGCACCACTCCCTAGATCCCTACAACGGTTAGTCGGCAGTGATGTATGGGCTGCAGTCCCATCTTCTGGGGTTTTCCCTGCCTGTTGTAGGATGCGGTGTTGGTTCAGACAGTAGGTGCTTCCCTACTCACCTCACCGACCCTCCCCCTGCACCCGGAGGAGCGCCCCCGGGAACAGGTTACCGCGTCGACCAGGCTGCGGATGGCGGAGCCTGCGGCGCTCACAGAGAGGGACCGCCCACTGCCCGCTGGCCGTGACCTCAGGTGCAGGCCCTCCCTTCTGGCCCCAGGCCTCGCCCCGCCTCTCCCCGCGGAGCCTCCGGAGAGCGCCGCCCGCCCGCCCGCCCCCGGGACACCGCCTCCCCAGAGGCCGGCTCCGGACCCGCCGCTGCCGGAGCCTTACCAGCCGCGACACCACACTCCCGGGTCGGCCTGCCCGCACGTGAAGCCACTCGCTCTTCAGCCTTCCCGGCCCTGCGCCCCACCGCGGCCTCAGCCTCCCAAGCCCACCGACCCGAGGCTTCCGAAAAGCGCGCGGACCGTGTGCGCCTGCGTACTGCTACTGGCTCAGCCCCCAACGTGCGTGCGTGCATCCCGGCGTGCGTGTGTCTGTGAGACCTTAGCGCGGGCGGGGAAGCGCTGTAGGCTTCCGGGGGCGGGGTCTGAGCTCCCAGCCCCGCCCCCGCCCGCGTGTCTCGGTCACCACGCTCTGGCCGGCTCTCCTGGTGAGTTGGTTTGGTTGTTTCTCTTGGGAAGGGGCCTCCCTCTCACACATTTTTAGACTCAATCTGGGAGTTAGAATCCGCGTCTCAGATCCCCCCGTCACTCAGCCAGCGTGTCCTTTTCTTCCTTGAGCCCTGGAGGACTTGCTCCTGGAAGACTGGGAAGCATGCCCTTCTTCCCAAGGAGTGTCCTGGCGCAGGAAAAGGAACGGAAGACCCCTCACAGCCACCTCTGGGTGTTAGCTTGGTGCAAAAGTAATTATGGTTTCAGACCTTGAATTTTAAATCATTATAACTAGGTTCAAACATATCGTGATTAATCAAAATAGGAACCATTACAATCAACACGTTCTTGCCAACAAGAAATAAGTTTGTTTATCCCCGTAGCATAAAAATCTATACTTCGGGTTTCAACAGACTCTTGGAAAGCATTTCTGTGTCCTGCTGCTTGTGGAAGCATTGCCCCTGCAAAAAGTTGTTGAGATGCTTGAAGAAGTGGTATTTGGTTTGGGAGAGGTCAGGTGAATATGGTTGATGAGACAAAACTTTATAGCCCAATTTGTTTAACTTTTGAAGTGTTGGTTGTGGTAGGGCATTGTTGTGGTGAAGAATTGGGGCCTTTCTGTTGACCAATGCTGGCTGCAGTTTTGTAGTTTTGGGTGTATCTCATTGATTCGTTGAGCATATTTCTCAGAGATGTGATATTTTCGCTGGGATTCAGGAAGCTGTAGTGGATCAGATGGGCAGTGGACCACAAAACAGTGACCATGACCCCTTTTTTGGTGCAAGTTTGGCTTTTGGAAGTGCTATGGAGCTTTTTCTAGGTCCAACCACTGAACTGCTTGTCATTATAAAGTCCAGTTTTCATTGCACATCACAATCTGATTGAGAAATGGTCTGTTGTTGAATAGACTAAGAGAAGATGACATTTCAAAACGACGATTTTTTTTTTTATTTGCGGTCAGCTCATGAGGTACCCACTTACCAAACTTTTATACCTTTCCAACTTGCTTCAGATGCCACATGACCATAGGATGGTTGATGTTGAGTTCTTGGGCACCTCCTCATATAGTTGTAAGAGGATCAGCTTCAATGATGCTCGCAGTTTGTCATTGTCAGCCTCTGATCAGCTTTTATGATGGCTCTCAGTTGGTCATTGTCAACTTCTGATGGCATGCCACTACGTTTCTCATCTTCAAGGCTCTCGTCTCCTTTGCAAAACTTCTTGAACCACCACTGCATTGTACATCTGTTAGCAGTTCCTGGGCCAAATGCATTGTCGATGTTGCAAGTTGTCTCTGCTGCTTTATGGACCATTTTGAACTCAAATAAGAAAATCATTCAAATTTGTTTTTTGTCTAGCATCATTTCCATAGTCTAAAATACACATAAAGTAAACGGCAAGTAATAATTCATTTGCCAAAAACATGAAGCAAGAAATGAGCGTTAAAATGATATATAACATAACCACATTTAAGAATGTATTCCAGTATCAAATGGCAAAGTTCAACGAAGCAAAAACCCACACTTTTGCACCAACTTAATAGTTCATGCCATGAGTCACCTGGGAAGTGTGGAGTCTGATGGCGTGACCTTAGGGGGTCACAAAGGACCATCTTCCCACCTTCTCATCCTGCCATCATCCTGCCCGGGTTTATCACCTCAGTGTCCCAAGAGCACGCCTATAACCCAGGAACCTGCTCACGTATTCTGGTTTAAAGCAAGAAGGGGCCAGACTGGGGAAGACCCTGCCCTCCTGAGTATTTCTCTCAGAGAGAAAAGAGGAGACACTCCTTGGAAAGCCGCAGTGACGCCTCCTCTCCTGCCTCCCTGGTCCTGTGGGTACTGCTTCCCCAGAAAGTGAGCGCCTGGCACCGGGGATGGAGAAAATGACTCTCCAGTTCTCGGAGCAACTAACAGCACATGACGTTGAAATGCAAGACCTAAAGAAGTGTGAGATGGAACACTTCTTTTAGGACGTTTCTTTAAAAATTTTTTCAAGTGGGCATAAAATAAAAGGGCATGATTGGACAATACCTTTTAAAAATAAACAAGGGTAAAGGGTAGCTCACAATTCATCTCTTGGATTAGACAGTAACAAAAGGACTTTTTATCCTAATTCTTCATAATATACTAAATAATTTACTAATTATTATAATTACCCAGAATAAAATGAAAATGAAAAACGTTACCTCAAGACCAGTTTACTAGCTTTGTTTACTAGCTATTTTTCTACTTGTATATTTAGAAATCATATCAATACTACATATTTGGATAATAGCAATTTTCAGTGATTTTCATCACCA